CAAATGCAGAAAAAAAAAAATGAACTCCTACAATCTGAAGTTAATGACAGAAGAGCATTTCCGTGAAGAAGATATATTTGAAATTCTACAGTGGGGCTCTGGTTCTGAGAGCAGAAGAGATAATAACAGATTTCAGTTCTTGCCTTTGTTTCTGTCACTCCATCTCCTGACAAGCCCCAAAAGAAATTGCAAAACATGCTTGCCATACTAGAGACTTCTGAGTATTTTTTTTTTCATTACAGGCTGTGATCCAATGTGATAAACAATAGCCATGTGAAGACTCCACTCACATCTCCTGCCTTCACAGTGCATACAGCTGGGGGGTGGGGTTGCGGGTGGGGGAAGGATCTCCTCCCACCAAAAAAACTATATGCATTTAATTGGGGGCTAGGGATGTAACTCACTAATAGAATGCTTGCCTAGCATGCCCAAGGCCCTAGGTCCAATGCCCAGTCCTGAAAGAAAACAATACATATATAGTTTAAAAAGATAAATATAATGATAAAATACTACCCAAAGGATCCAGAATCAAATTGTGTTAACCAGAGAATTCTAGAAATTCTCCAAAGGAAGTGGACAGGTGAACTGGTTAGAAAATCAGGAGAAGAAAAGACAAAATGGCAAAATGGACAATTTATGCAAAGTCACGAAAACATAAAAGTACACAAAATGTCTAAGGAACAGAGGGGCAGAACCTGGGCTGAGAGTTGTCCATGTTAAGAAGGTGTGCCAGAGAGTTTTCGTTGGGCAGATTGTCTGTTGGTAGACAACCCAGGTAGGCTGTGAAGCTCTTCATACGGGCCAGGGAGTACCACAAGGAGGAGAGAAGAAGCATTGACAAGACAGACTTTGTAAAAGTAGTCTCACTTAAATCTTTGATCCCTATTGCAAATTCCTTAAATAATATTAATAGCAGACAATTGTCATGTTCCTCTGTACAGTTATTTTTTTGTGTTTGAGCAAGCCCTAATATGGGACTATTAAAAATCACTGAAGGAAAACTATCTGACATACTTCCTCTTCCTTGACGCTTCCCTTGCACACAACTGTCATTAACTACATGTTCTACCATTCTGTGAAAGGAAGTGGAAGAGGGGATCGTGACATCGACATGGACCCGGCCATGGCACAGCCATTTCCCCTACGGGGAAGAACCTAGAGCTGCACATATTCCCAGAAATCGGAGAATTGTGGCTTAGGGCAGTTTCAGGAGAGATGACGCTTAAGCTAAACTAAACTGAGGAGAGATGAAAAGAAAAATGAGAGATTTTCAGGGAACCCAAAGTACTGGCCAGAAATAGTCAGAGATCAAAGGCTACAGAGGACCCCCTCTATTCCTCAAGATGCCTGTGCTGCTTGCTGAAAGAGAAACACTTCATTTTTGGCATGTTGCGTGTAGTTTTAAAAGCTACAGCCTTCACGCGCCAGGGGTCGACTGTGCTCTGCCCCCTCCTGGCTTCCCTCTTGCTCTACTAGCCTTCTCTCTGGGAAGTGGGCCACACTACCAGTCTCACCCGAGACCCTTAAATCCTCACATATAAGACAGAGAGAGAGAGAGAGAGAGAGAGAGAGAGAGAGAGAGAGAGAGAGAGAGA